GAACACATAATTAAACCACAGTTTGTTACTAAATGCATAATATATCTTTTAAACAATGATTGTAGTAATTTAAATTTTAGTACACTCCGACATCTGCCAGGACTTGCGGCTATTAATATTAAAAATAATTATTCATCTAATACAGTTTAGTGGTTTCTATAAAATGCGTGTACACTACCGAGTAGTTTTATGCGAATATTTTATATCTTAAAAACTACAGTTTTGAACCGTGTCAAGAAGGTATCGCAACAAAAGAATGAAAATAACACGACCAAGTATTTATTTGGATTCCTGTATGTTAAAAAGAAAAATATTATGAACTGTTGTAATTTTCGTGTAATTTCGTCAACAATATATAAAATATTATGTTATACACGTCAACGTCTAACAATGATGTATAACCTTCGCACAATAACCAAACAAATCTTTTAGAAATTAATATCAAGAAACTCAAAATTCATAAAATATCAATACAAAAACATTTCAACACTTTTTGATTTAATATTAATTTTCTACTAAAAAAGCTCTAAATGAAATTGAACTTTATGTGTATATAGATAACTTGTTCTAATGTAATACACCATTGTTTTAAAAAATAAAATGATTCTAATTTTTTTTTTTAAATTTTGAAACCTAAAATAATAGTATTTTTACTCAAAATTAAACGTAAATTCGTCATCTCACTTTATATAGAAAAATTATTTATTAAATAATTCAGCTGGTTTTTAAATTATTTTTAACCTTCAAAAAGTGTGAAGGTAATTTTTTTTATACACAATAGCCAATCACATTGATTTAATGTGGTTGGCTTTTGGTTAATCACTAGTGAATAATAATCTCTTCATTTTTTTTAGCTTTAACTACTATATTATAAATAAAATTAAAATTCTACATACATAAAAGAGGTCTCTACCATTAATTTAATACTAATATTTTATATATATCAAACATTTTAAAAATAAATGAAATACGAGTTTTTGTAAGCTTTAATTAATGAGTAAGTTGTTTGTTTACAGTATTTGATTATAATTAAATATTTTTAGTATGATTATACTTAAAACCCCAGTATACACAAATGTAATTTTTATATTAATTCTAAAGACTGAGCAAGTTATTGATTTTTCAAAACTCATTAAAATTAAATTGATCGAAAAAAGTTAACAAGTTAATAATTAATCCATCATTTTTTAAATAAATTTAATTTAATTTAAATTTATTTTGAGATAATAATATTAACAAAAGTTGAATTAAGTTAATTTAAGTATTATTAGGTTTACAAAATATCAGCAGAGTAATCAAATATTATTGGACTTCAATTTTTTCCTACTTACACTTTATTTTTTATATAACAAAACATTAACAAGTTAAAATTAAGTTAACGTAGATCTAAATTCTAAATCATATATATGTACACCTGTTAGCTAAATATTTAACTTAATTTCAACTGATCAATTCGTTTATGTTCAGACTTGCTATTTAAAAAAAAAGTTCAATAAGCTAAAAAATTTACAATAATAAATATTATTAAAAAAAAATATATTATAATTTGATAACATTACATAATATGAATTTCACTTTTGTAATTTTGTGTTCGTATTTCAGATTTTAGGTATATAAAAATAAAATATTTAAGCTATAAAATTAAAAAAAAGTATATTTTAATAATGTGTTGATAGAATAACTAGTAATTAATAGTTACGTACTGGGCGTAGTTTAGATTAGTAAACAGTTGAATTGACAAAAAGATTGGGCAATCATCTGCACTTATGTTTTCAACTCGATGACAGAAAATTATTTTAGTTTTTACTGGATCGGACTCTATTATAAGAAATTATAGGTAGGCAATAAAAAATTTCTACCTAAATAAAACATTATTAGGCATAACATATATGCATATGTCATTAAAAAATCAATTTTTTAACATATTAGTATTAAACATTTGTCGATACTTACTTCTGTTAAAACTACAGTAGAACTCCAATTATCCGAACTCCGACCATCCGAATCGCCGATTATCCGAATCACTTTCAGAAAAAATCAGAAAAAAATTTGTCCAAAGTCCGCGGCGTCAGTGTAGGCACAACACGTGGTAAGAGTTCCCACTCCAGTTCCGGCGCATTGCAGTCACCTGTCATTGTTTGTTTTGATTAGTCAGTGAATGGGTCCCGGTCCCCATTAATTCGGATAATTGGAGTTCTACTGTATATATTATCATAGAATTATATAAATACTAGAGTTTTAAGTGTATTATTCATACCAAATAAATATAGATGTATTAACTTGCTATAAAAATTATTTTTATAATACAATTGTAAAAGATATTGTAAACATCGGAAAAATAAAAAATTATTACGTATTTTAAAAAAGGAATCAACGATAGAAAAGTATACTCATACTTAAACCATTTTGGACATTCGCCAAGTTCGAAATTGAGCCAATTCACAANATTATCATAGAATTATATAAATACTAGAGTTTTAAGTGTATTATTCATACCAAATAAATATAGATGTATTAACTCGCTATAAAAATTATTTTTATAATACAATTGTAAAAGATATTGTAAACATCGGAAAAATAAAAAATTATTACGTATTTTAAAAAAGGAATTAACGATAGAAAAGTATACTCATACTTAAACCATTTTGGACATTCGCCAAGTTCGAAATTGAGCCAATTCACAAGTGCCCGAAACCAATGTGTGATCACGTACACCCACGTCCAGTATTGGAGTAGATCTCGAAACTAGACGTAAAACAAATACTATAAAGTTGTTGCAAAAAGTATGAAAGTGCTAGCTACCGATGTTATCATTACACTTAAGTAAGTTGAAAAACTTGAACTGTGTTAACGAAAATTAGAAAAGAATATAATTTTATTATAGTTTAACAAACTCAACTTTACACCATTAAACAATGTAGTGGAAAACGCTATTGATAATTTGCTTGTTTGACAGTTAGTTACGAGAAAAAAACATTATCTATAACGTAAAAACAGTATAATGACTGAGTCATTGTTTTTTACACGATTTTGTTAAAGAAAGGAAATTAAAACTTTAATAAATTTTGAGAGAGATGGAACATTAATTTCTGCCGATCACTAAAAAAGTAAAATTAGCTACATTAATTTAAACCAGCATACTGGTAAACACAGAGAAATCTCTCCTCTCTCTTATATAACATCAATATTAATAAAGATGTAATAGTTGTATTTAATTTAATAATAATACTAATTTTATTGTATACACATATAATATATATTGTATATATTATATATTGTGCACATGTAAATACAATATAATTATATTATATTGAATAAGCATACAAGTCACAAATTTTATATATATATATGACATTACATAACTATCATAATGTGGTATATTAATATACCAAATATACAGAGTATCTATTTATCGTAATCCAATTAATTACTCGATGATAATAAGTAATTTATAATTGATAAATCATAACATATAAGTAATTTAAAAAGAAAAACATTTTTTTCAATATTATATTTATTTTGCGAGTAATCGAGAGTGGTTTATGATAAACGGATCACTAGATCACTCAAGTTTGAAAATAATTATAAAGTTTTTAGTTCTCATGGTGTTCTCTCTAGTTAAATACAGTAGCTGTTATTTATACATTACCCACGGGGTAACAGGTTTTATTATTTATCAATTTCCTTCGACCGAAACAGTCGCAACAATCTAAAATTTGTCCATTTCCATTAGGTAGCTGTGGTATAAGACAAATGTGAAAACATTTATCATTATTTTAACTGACTGTTGACGGTAGCAAGTATACAAAATATCAGATGAATTTAGAGAAATTATATTATATTACACCGTAAAAGCCAAAATACAGGTACACTATTTTTATAAAGTCACTACTTTAAAGCCTGTATATAAAAATAAAATAATACTAATGATGAAACAAAAGCCAAATAGCATAAACAATATGGTATTTTCCAACGCATCAAGCTGGAAAGAATGTGTTAAGTGCTCGGAAACGGGTCGCTATGTGCTTTCAAGTGGTTCTTTGAAGAATAAACATTAGCGAATACATTTTGAAGATTAACATTATCAAAACAATGAAATGTTATGAAAGACAATACGGATTTAAAACCATCTAATAGTTTTCTTTATTTGCTTCTAGAACTTTCAGTTAAAATATAACAAATATTTACTAAGAGGTCGGCAATTGTAGTGGATAGAAACGTATGTTTTATCACATGGGTTACCGAGTTCGATCCCCAGGGTGACAACAAGATTTTCCTTGTGATTTTCTCATTGGTAGTATTGGTATTTGGTGCAAGACGGCCATAATACCCGTCCCGTCCATCATTGGCATAAACAAAAGCTATCTTTGACTCTCTAACTGTTAGAGAGTCAAAGTTCATATGTTAGAGTCTAACATATGAAAGAAAACCACCACCCTCTGTACCATATTAAGTTCGGAAAATAGAAGGGTGTAAGACTGATCATCATCAATCAAGTATTTAAACTAGTTCTTAATATGATGTAAAAGTTTTTTCATAAGTCAAATCATTTTTTTTGTTTCCATAATATTTTTGATAATTAAATTATATTAATTAATTCAATATTTGTATCAAAAGATCTTACTGAGTAGTGTAAGTCAGTCGATTCGCTTACTAATATTTTCTAATTTTATCAATTCATTTTCATTTGTATACTATGGATAAATTTTTAAGTGATCGTTCTAAGAGAAGAGAGAGGTAACAAGAGTTTGAGTGCTTTCAACAATCTTATAATTCAAGTGCGTTTGAAAAAGTTGAACGAAAAAGTTCATTTTTTCATGTTATGAAACAGTAAATATACAGTTTCAAAGTATATAAGAATAAAACATAACTTTAAATATTTTACCACACCACTGGGACTTTGTCTTGAAATTGCCTACTATGTTCACACTAAGAAACCTAATTCTTACAATTACACATATTTTAACATGTATTATAAAATGTTATTGACGCATTAATACCTTAAATTCATTTGTAACTGGATCCATGTCAAGTAAAGAATAATCAGCGATACGGTCACCGTTGGCATCAATATTGACATCACCGGTAATACCGGTGAACGTTTTATTCCACATAGCTTTTACTATAGCCGCACCGTCTGATTTGTTACCCCCTCTAGCTAGTGTCTCGTTTAACGCCAAGCCATACAATAAAACTGCATCGTAAAAAGATGTAACAAATGTTGATACTGATTCGTTGCCAAATGTAAAGTTATACTTCTCTTCTGCCACACGTTTAACCTATAAGCATTTGATTATTAAAAAAGTAAAAATATTCACACGATTATAGCTTTATATATATATATATATATATATATATTTTAAATTAAGTAACTAGTAATTTCATCCGAAATTCATTGATTATTTATACAAATATTAGATTATAACTTGAATGAACCATTTATTCTAATGTAAGTATAATATTATGTGACATATTTGAACGATAAAATCGATATACTTTAGTAAAAATATCAAATAAAATTAAAAAATTGTAAATTTGTTGATAAGGGACGGTATGGCCCAACAGTAACACGGCAGTATTTGATCTACACTGTTTCAGGCTTGAGACTCAGATACGGATGATTTTGTTTACTGAACGAGGGATCAACTCAGTGATTGGACTTGCTATCACTTTCTCGGACGACGGACTAACGACCTGTCCCAGAGTATTTAGTAAGGAAATCTCATCTTTGGATGGGGCTCAATTGCCCATCATAAAATATATATTTGTTAGACCAATTACAGTTATCTTTCAAATTTTCTTTTACTAATCGTTTTTGAAATTCCAGTAGATAGTTACCCTGGTTGTAATGGATTTATTAGGTTAAATCAAATTTAAAAATAAGATATTTTAACTATTCAAAAATCAAAGGTCAGTATTAACGTTATTTACTTGCCCTCAATCAAATTTTGGAATTTAACTAATATATTTTAATCTACAAAACTCTCTAGAGATTTGTATGAAATTTAAATTGCTTAATAATAAAAGTTTATACAGTTTGAATACACCATTGACTAGCTATTTTGTGTATACATATTTTGTCTTAACTTACTTCCACGGAAAAGTTTCGATATGCGTCGTTGTTGGGAGTACGTGCAGTCACAGTGAGTAATGCTGTGTAAGCCTTTTTTGCTCTCTCATTTCGTTCAGCTGTATCGTTGCTCACATACCATGGCGTCAAGGATCCGTTGTTCATGCTGTATAACAAATTTTAAATTAAAATTTAAACAATTTTATAAGATATTTCTAAACTAAATGATAAAGTTCTAAAAACAGTGTGTTTAATTTGAACTTATATTTAACAATTGTTGCCTGCTGTAAGAAAAATTAGTTTTTTTTTTTTTACAAAATTTCCAGTTAATTACTAAAAGTCAAAAAATGAAATATTTTTTGAAATAATAGTCCAAAAATCAAAGAAACTATAGTAAAAGTATAACTAATATATTACCGAGTACAATGTAATATTATTAATATTTCTTTAGGTATTACATAAAAAACAAGTTAAAATATGTAATTATATATATATATATATATGATGTTTCAAATGAGTGGAACAGAATTTTAAAATAAAAATTCTATCTGTTTTGTTTTATTTTTTGATAAAATACGTTTTCTAGTCATGAAAAGTAGTCCTAGATTTTTTTACTTTCGTTTCTTCATGTAACCTTATAAACCGCTGTCACGTGTCACAGTGATAAAGAAAACTCAAGAAAAAGAGAAAAACACTGTAACGAAAAATGTTTCACCATCAGCCAACCTAAACATAAATGTTTTTGTCATCTTAAGACTTTAGTACGATCGAATGTACAATAGGAAAAACTAATAACAAGTTATTTTTTACCATTTTTCCAGGTAAAAATCTCACAGTTCTTCTAGTCTCATCATTATTCTTTGTGAACCAACAGTCTTTCATGCAAGTTTAAATGTGTGGAAATATAAATTAAAATCCTATATAAAACTGGAAATAGTTTATGTAATAAACTTACTCAAGGAAACAATATTTCTTTTTATAGCTAAAATATAAAACTACATAGCTTAAAATTTAATATATATATATATATAAGGATCTTTATCTTTTTAATTATTATTATTAATATGATAATATTATAATTATACTTATTTTGGGAAAAAAATATACAGATTCTCTTTGGAAACACGCACCAATGATACATAAAAAAAAATTAAGATCACTAATACGTTTTCCGATGAAAAAAGTATCTTGAAATAAAAAGCGACATTTTGTTTGAACACATTGCACCGTGTAATGCAAATGTAACGAACCATAATATCATTACATCTGTAAAATATATACAACTCAGTACAAGTTTGGTTTATTTACAATTGTTTCATTCTGAAATCTTGATTCTCTAAATCAGGATTTACAAACTAATGGAGTTTGCAAATGTATAGTGTAGTACCATTGTTAAGAAATCAATTTTTTATTTAAATACTTGCTATCTATAACTCATCTCAATGTACACTAATTTAATACAAAAATTTACCATCAATTTCGTTTCATAATGATAAAAAATTTTTAATTATTCTTAACGAGAAATATGTATGAGATTAAATTAGTTTTTTAATTAATCTAGAAAATAAGCAATTTATGATTTTATACCCTTCGGAAAAATACAATTAAGTTTGTAAATCCAAAATGTTTTTAGGAGATTTTAATTTTCAACTAATCAAATTTTATCGAGTTCTACAAATATTATATTATTATTTTCAGTATAATAGGTTTTTTCATATTTTAATGGAATATTTAATTAAAATTATGTTTGTTTCTGATGTTAAAAACTTTGTAAATATATTATAAACTATGGTACAATTACTATTCTTAAAACAATTGTTCTTAATGCTAGTCTAACATATTAAATTAATATATTTTGGCTTGATTATGATGAGAATAAATGTTGAATCCTTAAAAGTCTGAAAATGTATTCATATAATATTTTTGATGGAAAAAAAGACTTTTATTAAATAAAGATTAATAAATTACTTTTTTAATTACATATTTTATATCCTTCTAATATATTTAAAATAATTGAACTAATGTAATTAACAAAGTAGTAATACGAGACCACAGAAAGTAAAAAAACATTTATAGAACGACACAATATTTATAAATATTATTTACTATTAGTTTTCATTTTATTTTATACATTCATTTTTCATACAAAGCATAAACGATCACATACACTCACAGTATACAGGTGATTTTTTAAGAATGATACCCCTCCCCTTTTTTTTTTTGTTAAACAATGGTTTGTTTTATAAAAATATATATATTAAAATTTAAATAATTTTTATAAACTATAGTAAATATCAAGTTTATTGTAAGAATAAACTATTTCTGAGAGTAGATTTTAGGGGTAACTTTCAAAAGTTAAATGGGAATCTATAATTAATTTCTTACTATTACATAGATAATAGTCTAAATAAAATGTTGACAGGTCGATAGCAAATTTTGTAATATTAATTTATGAGTTATTAGCATTTGAAGATTTAAAAAAAGTGATGAGCGTGGTAATGTTTAGTAAATATATTTAAACTAATAATTGGCACAAAAAATATTAATATATCACAATGTTTAAAAAATTATATACATTTATTTCAAAACAGCAATAGATATTTAAACATTTTTAGGTAACTTTGATAATTAAGTGCTAACGTTATTCATATCAATAGAAATCCTTATAATTTAATAACAAAACGTAAAGTGATGTTATTTAGAGACATTAGTTTTCTTTTTCATATTTTCAAAGTTCAAATAATATATAGCATAATAAAAGTAAATTTTCAATATAAAGGTCAAGCAAAATTAGTATACTTTTAAACAGTATATTAAATTTAAGAAATTACATAAAAAAGTGAATTATATTAAGACGTCCCTGAGGAGTTTTAATAAATAATCATAAATTCAAATTTGTTCAAAATACACAAATTAATAGTAGACGTAACTTAATAAATCATGTTAATAATGGGAATATAAAAAAAATAATTCATCATCAAAATTCAATGTCAAATGTTTACCTACATAATAAGAGAAATAGTGTATAAAAATATTATTGAAAAACCTCTCAAATTATTTATAATATGTAAAATGTTACTATTTACAGTATTAATCATTACATATCCTGGAAATAAATAACTTTACTGATCAATCATTTAAATTTTTTAATATTAATATTGAACAAATAATTAAATAAATTAATAGTATTATTCACTCTTTTTGGATTATATTCTTTAGTTTTTCAAATTGTTGAAATTATAAAAAAATATTCTGTAGATAACAACGTAATATACGTATACACATATAACAAGATTAATATTTACCTGCTAAACAGCTCAATATTGAAAAAAACATATTCACCACTGTCAATCATATTAAGTTCTTCGGCCGCTAATAGTATTTCTCTCACTGTTAACGGGTTAGCACATACCACCATTACTAAAACAATTAATGAATTAATTTAAAAGTTATATTGTTATAGAATAATTAAAACTAATTTCGCTATGAAATTTTTTCCTCTAATATTTTTAAATTAGCTTAAAATATTGTCGTTAATATTCAAGAATTCTTGAACGATCGCGACGTTTTTCGAATGCCTCACTAATTTTTTATACAAATTTTTATTTTTCACATAAATTTTAAGTAAATATACTGTTACCTTTTAATTTCGAGTCAAATTATAAAATTTTAAAATTAAGATTTTTTGTGTAGAAGTATATTGAAAATCCAAATATTTTGAGGGTGATTTTATTTTATGCGTGTGTAATAAATACCCAAGTTTTAACTTTTAATTAGAATTTCAGTAGCAAAAAACATTGTAACTTTGTACGTTATTTTTGAGTACAATAAAGGTAAAATATAATACATTCAAATAGGATATAACAAAAGTTTTTATGGTAAAAATAAATAATTTTTAATAAAATACATTATACTAATAAACAGTGTATAAAATCACTTAAGAAGACTTTATTTTTAACTTGACAGAATAAAAATCCGTAATTGATAAATAATAAAAAAGCTTTTATTTTTAATAAAATATTTTTTAATCCATTTAATAATACTTACCATTTAAAATTTTAAAACAACATTAAATGGTGCAAGTATTTGTTTAAAATATATTCCCTGTCAATGTAATAAATTGTTTAAATGTAATAGTAAAAAGCAATTAGTATTTCATATTTTTTAAAGAGTAAATAAAATCGCTTAGTATTACAAATATAATATTGATATTGATTATTAAAATATAGATATTAGCTGTTCATCTTTTTAAATTAGTTCTATAATATTTTGCAGTTGAGTTGTTCTTGAATTTTTAATATTCCAAATTTCTACTGGTAATTTAGTTTTATCTCTTAACTGTAAATATTATTATTATTTTTAAATGAACTCATAGAGTTAACTTAGAAAAATAACTTAAGTATTCCTAGTGCAAACTACAATTTAAATAACTATACTGCATCGATTTAATTACACTAGTATAATGATAATGATAAAAATGAAAATGAAAATGTTGGTAGTTTTAATGTTTACGTTAAAACAAAATAATTCCGTCCGTGGTCCCATGCAGTTTTGGTTTATCCATTTTTGACGAAGTGACTAAGCATCCCCTTTTAAATAATAGGTAACATGTTCATCACTTAAATAACGATTTACTGCTGAGCATTAGAAATTTACTGTAATAAAAGGTTTTTTGACTTTTCTAGGAACTACGAAACTAATTACATACTTTTTGTATTCTAAAAAATTCATAATTAATTTTTCCATAATTTACTTATAAATAAAATAATTCTAAAAAAAAAAGAGAAAAAACATTTCTCAATTTTTTTTTCTTTCATCAAGTAGTTGGAAGCCACTCATACTTGAAAATGATAGTTTTAAATTAAATTATTTGAACTATAATCAATATTTAAATGAAATATTAAAAGTAAATACTTCTTTTAATAGTCGACATATTGTTGAAGTTATGTTAGTTGTTAATTTTACATGAGTTAACATTATTATGTTTCTAAGAAAATATAAGTTCATTTCGTTTGTAAAAATATTCATTTTAAAAACGATAATTTTTTTTAATATGCTCATTATCCATACAAATGTTTTACGGCCAATTCAGACATTTATCATCAACAGAATACTGTTGACGATAAAAAAAGTCTTGTAATAAATAATGTGCTTCCGCTACTTCAATTTCCGCAAGAAATATGTATAAACTTCTATAATCGTCTTTATTTTAATCCAGTACCCGTTTCGCAAATCACAAACTTTTATTATTACGCAGGAAGATATGCAAATAAAAATGCTTCAATATATAATATTTGTTTATGTATAAAAATAAGTTGCATTATCCGTAAACATACAACTTTAATCAAACATTTGTTTGTATAAGAAACACTTTATTATTTACTGATAATTACTACTATGAACACATAACGTTTTTAGTAGTCAATAATTACGAAAAAAAATTTAAAAACAGATTCCCACAACTGGTGAATTGCCAAATATTCGTCACTTGCAAAGCCGTCGGAATACTATACTTGAACAATTATTGGTGGTCACTTGTCAGTTTCCAACGGATTGTCGGTAAATACGATACAAGTCAAAGGAATTAATGACTTGACAAGTTTACACTTGTAGTTCACTGGTGCACACTTTTTACTTGTCAAGGACTTGGCCAATATTTGATTTTAGGGTGGCTATCGATAACATATATTTTCTTCCCCAACCAAATCTATATTTTCACATTATTAGTTAGGCCTAATTAGTTAACCTAATTTAATGGATGGATGATATATAGGAATAACAATAACTTATAGTACTTTATGAATTAATTATAATGTAATTTACAATATAATTATAAATTGAATTTGTAAATATATATATATATTTTTATTACTATATAATATACGACTAACGGCTTCAGTGAAGTATAATTAGTACAAATTATGAATAAAATATAAATCTAAATCATTAACAATAATAATTAAATACAAAAACATTTTACAGCATATAAATTTAGGGCTACAAGATTATTAGAATTAAAAAAGTTAAATTTACTTATTTTATTACATTCCACAAATATTCTATTTAGTGTTGTGTTATAACCACAAGATGTTCTATGATATAAAACAGAAAATTTTGAATAATAGCGTGAAAAATATTGGAGAACATGGATTGATACAATAAATAGAAGTAGAGGGAAAAATATTTAGTCATTTAATAATTTGTACATGTAGAGTTTTCTACTGAGATATTTTTTTAACTTACGTCGAACCCGTTGTAATAACTCTATTAAATCAACTTACAAAAGATTCCGCAGGAGTCTACCATTTTCTAATACGAGTCAAATCAAGGCACAATACAAAGTTTTAAACAGTTAAATAAAAAATTATATAACTTATTAACTTATTAATATTATGTATTAAATAAATATTATTGGATAATTTAATCTTTCGTTAAATTATAATATCACAACTAATTATCTGCTTTATTTTTGCAAACAAAAAGTTACATCACCTAATTTCAAAAACTATAAATATTCTTTTAATCTTGTTATTAATCATATTTGTTATTATTAATACTATAAAAAAACTTTTTTTTACGTTAGAATAATATTTTTACTATAAAATTTTATCAACATCACTAGCCATTTTAATTAAATTAAAATTAAATAGATAACTAAAAACTAAAAAAATTATAGGTAAAAGTAAAGAACTATCTTAACTAAAAAAATATATAAAACTAAAAGGTATCGAATCAAGAAAACTAGCAAGACTAAAAAATATTTAAGCACTGTAGCATTAAAAGAACAAATGATACATGACTTAATATATACATTAATATTTTTACCAGCCTCCAATACAATTATTTGGCATTTTGAGGAATAGTACACTTTGTCTTTGTTTATTACTTGTACAAGTGTACAAGTACTGACAAAACTAGATGACTTGGCAAGTATAAAATTATTGGCGTACTTGACAAGTACACCTGTCGTGAGAATCCGTCTTAATTACTAATAATACTAATCGTACCCATACTCATAGTACAAACAGAAATAGTAATAATAGTCTCATGTTAGCATAAGATTTTAGTTAAAGGCCAACCTTAAATTTAAATATAAAATTCTCTTTTGTTCTACTAAAACTCGTACCTTACTTATTTTATCAAAATCACGATTAAATTTTACATTTCTTTTTATAACGAATAATCTAATTATTAGTAGACTATAACTATAAAATACGGTATTGTAATGTGAAATTTTAATTTTATGAACAATTCAATTATAATGTAATTTACTATATCTTGTCTAAATAGTATTCAATTAAACGATTTTACAATATTTTCTAGAGTAACATGTTCACAAAACAGACAGCTAAATTTAGTTTTGAACATAATCGGTTGTGATTTCTAAGTTAACTTGTCTGTATTAAAATTGACATTTACTATATCTAACAAAAAAGTATGTAATTACGGTAATTTGACTTTGAATTGTATTAATATTAGAAAGAAACAATCTTATTTCAAACTAAAAACATAGACAAATTTGGAACTTGGTAAATCATCTACAGTTTAACAAAATAAGAACAGCAGTTTAACGTGCACTAAATATGAAATTGATAAGTTATATAATTCGACACATTCTTTTATAGCTCATTCTACTTACGCAAATAGCAATAAAACTTTTCACAAATATAATCAAAAACCGGATTTGTAATTTTCCTACCTATCATTATTTGATTCTTACAATGGTTTGGATATAAAATATATTATAAGAATCGTAAAAAAGAACATATTCACAAGCAATTTCGGTAAAACTGTTTCTATGAATAATTTATAGACAGCTTACCATCAGACTTGTACTATATGATCCAAATTCTACAACATCAACCCTCAAAGCTCCTTTATAATAGTATGTAATATCACTATCTGTTACCTAGACATATTCAAAGATATTATGGAACAAACAATACTTTTCAAAAATATATAAAAACAAACGTCTGTTAAAAAAAATACTGGCTACATAATGGTTTGATAACTAAGCTTTTATGAACATAGTTATTAACTTTTTCCTTAACTTTACTTTCAACTCAATTATTATAATTTTGTACCTATTTAGACACAATATTTTCGATTATACTATTGAAAAATATGAAACATAAATAAATATTGAACTTAGTAATTTAAAATTACTAAGCTTAAAAACGTTTTATGTCAGAGGAAACAATTAATCATTACTTGTCATTCTATTTGTAAAACTAAAGCAAATAAAACTTAAAAACATTGAATTTAAACGAATTTTTTTATTAACAAATAATTTAAACATTAAATTTTTTGTAATTTGATTTATGATAAAATTTTTAAATTATAATACTTTTTGCAACTTTATAGTTACATGTTTCCGATAAAATTTTAGACTCAATTTCAACATAGTAAAAATAATAATT